ATATTCAAAAGTCAACGCATATTTACTTCCACCCACACTCTCTCTCTCTAGTAAAAAAAACAAAAAAAATAAAAACAAAAGTTGCAATTAAATACTCTCTGTGGTAAAAAAAACAAATAAAAGTTGAAATATCTTTCTTAACAATATTAATACATCTTTATTTTGTCTCCTCTCATATAGAAAATTAAAAATAAATAAATTTTTTTTAAATAATACTAAAAATAAAAAAGTTTCATTTAATGTCACTACAACAAAAATCATTTTTTTCGACAATTTTTTTGCGACGTTTTTTTTCGTCGCAAAAATTATACTATTCACAACGATTTAATAATTTTGTCGCAAATAGTGATTTTGGCAAATTTTTTGCGACGTTATAACGTCGCGAAAAGCCATTTCCCACCAAATTTTTTGGCACAAGAAAAATGGCGGAGTTGATATTTTTTTGCGACAAAATTTGTTTGTCGCGGATAGTTTTACTTTGTCACAAAAAAAAAATATAAATTTAAAATAAAAATAAACTCAAAATATTTAATTCGCGACGTTTAATATTATCGTCGAAGAATATAAATTTTAATTAATATTAATTAGCGACGTTTTTTATTATCTTGTCGAGAATATTTATTTTTTGGACGTTTTTAAAAATCATCACAAAATATAAATTTTATTTTTTATTAAATAAATTTATTATTACGCAACATTTTAATATTCATCGCAAATTAGAATTTAATTTGTAATTTTAAATTAAAATTAAAATATTAATTGCGACACTTTTTTTTTCGTCACAAAAACTGAACTTTCTGCGACAATTTAATATTTTTGTCTCAATAGTGTTTTTTAGCAATTTTTTTTGCGACGTTTTATAAAAAAAAAGTTGCAAAAAAGAGATTCTCACAAATTTTTTTGGCACGAGAAAAGGGCGGGAGTTAATATTTTTTGCGATAAATTTTTTTTTGTCGTGGATAGTTTCAATTCGTTGCAAAAAAATATATATATAAAATCAAAATAAAATTAAAGTCAAAATAATTAATTCGCGACGTTGAATATTATCGTCGCCGAATATATATTTTAATTAATATTAATTAGCGACGTTTTTTATTATTTTGTCGGGAATAGGTATTTTTTCGCAACGTTTTAAAAATTCGTTGTAGAATATAATTTTTATTTTATATTAAATAAAATTATTATTTTGTGACGTTTTAATATTCGTCGCAAATTAGTATTTAATTTATAATTTTAATTTAGAATTAGAATATTAATTGCAACGTTTTTTTTTTCATCACAAAAAATGAATTTTTCGCGACAATTTAATATTTTTGTCGCAAATAGTGTTTTTGGCAAATTTCTTTTGAGACACTTTTTAAAAAACGTCGCGAAAAGGTAAGTCAAATCAAATTTTTTTCTTGGGCGCAAGAAAAATGGAGGGAGTTGATATTTTTTGCGATAAAATGTTTTTGTCGCGGATAGTTTTAATTCGTCGCAAAACAAAAATATAAAATAAAAATAAAAACCAAGTCAAAATATTAATTCGCAACATTTAATTTTATTGTCATAGAATATAAGTATTAATTAGTCATGTTTTTATTATTTTGTCGGGAATATTTATTTTTTAGCGACGTTTTTAATAATTCGTCGCAGAATATAAATTTTATTTTCGTATCAAATAAAATTATTATTTCGTGACGTTTATATATACATCGCAAATTAGAATTTACTTTGTAATTTTAAATTAGAATTAAAATATTAATTGCGACGTTTTTGTTTTGTCACAAAAATTGTACTATCCAAGACAATTTAATAATTGTGTCACAAATAGTTTTGTTGCAAATTTTTTTTGCAACTTTTTTAAAAAACGTTGCGAAAAGGTAATTCCCAAATATTTTTTTTTTGCGCAAGAAATGGCAGAAATTGATAATGTTTTAAAATAAAATTTTGTTTGTCGCAGATAGTTTTTCTTCATCACAAAAATAAATAATCTAAAATTAAAATTAAAATTAAAATAAAGTCAAAATATTTAATACACGACATTTTTTTTGTCACAAAATTGTCATTCTTTGTCTCTTTTTTTGTACGAGCAATGGCGGGAAATGAAAATTTTTTAGTTTGGTAAAAAAAAATTTGTCGCAAAAAAAATTAATTAAAATAAAATAAAAATATTAAATTGCCACGTTTTTATTTTCGTGGCAGAATATAAATTACAACCACATTTAAAGATAAAATAAAATAAAAATATTAAATTACGACATTATGTTTGTCGTAGAATATAATTTTTAAAAAATTCAAAATGACGTCATTTTGGACATTAAAAAAAAAAAACTACCTACATAAATTGAGATTCATTGCCCATCCTTTTTTTTTCCCTCTTTCTCCTGTTCCCAATATCTCCGTCTTTGTTTATTTCAGTCAACACACACAGTACTGTCTCTCTCTCTCTCATCCTCGCTATTCTCTTTGTTCCCCTCCCCCTGTGAACTGAAGTGTTGCTTGCCCTCACTCTTGAACCAAATTGTTTCCTACCATCACATTACTGAGGTAAAGATCCCATTGAAAAATTACTATGTAAGTTTTTGCATCTCCACATGAAAGTACAAACTCTGTATAATACTTGTGAGTCTCACATTTTATTTTAATTTAAACTTATTGAATATTTGCAATAACTTAGTTTAGTTATTGGGATTAGTGGTTTTGGGTGTCTAATTTCTTGTTCTTTAACTATTACTCTGTGGATTTAGAAAACTGTTTTGTCTTGAGTGTCATTTTGGTAGTTGTCGACAGAGAAAATAGAGGGTTTTCCTTGAATTTTTTTTTCTTCTTTTTTTCACTTTTTGTTTTACAAATTAACCTAATCCTAAGTGGAAATCTAGCAGAGGTATTTGACAGGTTTTGGGAGGGATAGATTTTGGTGATTTTTTTATACTTTTTGTATTCGATATACATAAACGTGGCATAATGTGGAAAAAGGAAAAAAAATAATGTTGGTCTGTGAAAATATTTTTAGTTAAAATATTTTGCGACGTAGAATGTTAATTTTAGTTATTAAAGTAAAAATAAAATAAAAATATTAATTCGTGACATTTTTTATAAGTTTGTCTAGAATATTAAAAATAAATAAAAATTTAATTTGCGACATTTTTTATTGTCGTCGCAACATTTAAATTATAACCACATTTAAAATTAAAATAAAATAGAAAAAATTTTAAATCGCGACGTTTTTATTTTCATCTCAAAATATAATATTTAAAAAAATAAAACGACGTCGTTTTAGGCATTCTTTTACCTTTTTTTTTATTTTTTTTTCTTTTCCCAACTCTTTTTTCCCCCATCTTTCCCTCTTCGTTTTCGGTCAACACACACACTCTCTGCCTCTCTCTCCCTCTCCATCGATTGCACTCAAAGCCACACACACACTCTCTGCCTCTCACTGCCTCTCTCCCTCTCCATCGATTGCAGTTAAAGCCACAATCCAGTGAAGCCACAAGCACCATCGATCGTAACCGCCTCCTCTCTCTCTCTCTCTCTCTCTCTCTCTCTCTCTCTCTCTCTCTCCATCGATTGAACTCGAAGCCACAAGCACCATCGATCGTCGCCGCCTCCATCGATTCAGTCCACGGTTGGTTTCACCCACCAGGTTCTTCGTTTACATCTCTCTCTTATCTCTCTTTGTAACATATACGAATTAGAATTTCTATCTTGTTTTCCCCCACAAATTCAGCTCTTATTATATTTGGTTGGTTTGTAGTTGTAAAATTTATCGCAAATTTTAGTGGGAAGAAGCTTCTGTGTATTCATTTTTAGTTTTTCCTTTATTTGTCTTTTGGTGACTTTGATGGGTATTGAGTAAACATTGGATCTTTGTTGTGTGAAGGCTGTTTGTTATACTTTTATCCTTTTTGGGGGTGATTTGCATTTCTGTGAATTTGTACCTGCTCTGTTTTGGAGAGTTCCTGGGATTTGCTTTGATTTTATTGTTCTATGTGACTATATGTATTTATCTATTTACTGCCTTTGTTATCTAGTTATCTATTTACTGGCCTAGCTCCTTGACAATCTATTGTAATTGTTTTATCTTTCCCCTGGTCATTTACTATTCTCATATATTTTGAATTTGTATTTGTAACAAGATAAGCTCTCTTTGTCACTATCAAGTGCTGGTCTGTAATTCATTGTCTTTTCCACCTGTTCTAATAAAATTTTCCACCCCTACTACGTAATAGTATTCTTGGTCTGTCATTACATCTGGTGAACATGCCTTGTTACATGTGGGTTTGGAATTTGGCCAAAACTAAGAAGGAAACTTCTCATTCCCAAATGTTCCGCCCATAGCAGATATTTTATATGAGGTTTAGCTTATTGGTTTTGATGAAATTAAAGAGGTGAGTTGTCAGTTGATTACTTCCACATGAATTTATTCATTCAATCTCAAAATATTTTAGTTTGGTCTTTAGTAGGGTGCTAACAGTTTAGAGCGATCAATGAAATTTTTTGCAGGGGAAAGCTGGTAGTGACATGACAGTAGAGGAAAGGATTTTATTGGCTTATTTTGATAAAATGTATATAGAAAGGGCTGCTTATCATTTGATTTCCATGTTTCAGGCAGAATTAATTGAGCCTGCTGTGAAGGGAACACTTAATGTTCTGACATCATGTGCAAAAGTTTCATCTATCAAAAGGGTGGTAGTAACATCCTCCATGGCTTCCGTTAAATACAATGGAAAACCTCTAAAGCCCGATACATACTTAATAGAATATGGCTCTGTTCCTGCTTACCAGCATATTGAACTTTGCAAGTCTGAGCCTTTCAACTTTTATTTTTAGTCGTTGTGATAAATATTGGTGTAATATTGTTAATAATCTGTGCTTCACTTTAGTATCCAGCTACTCTAAATTCCAAAGTCTGATTGGTCAAACTCCTACTAATTATATTAGTGGTGTTTGCTGCAGTGCACCAGAACACAGCATGCTATGTCACAGACCAAACTGGACTTGCTCTAAAGCCTGATAACATGCAACAACCTATAGGTACCACTTTACCAAATGCACTCCCCAATGGTGGGTCATCACTTCACCAACGCCTGCAAATAGCTGTTGATATCTCTGCTCATGCCAGAAGGATTGATGTACCACCAAATGTACTGTTGGCTCAGGGTTCAAATGTGGGAATGATACAAGGAATGAACGGGGGGATGATCAAATCCGAAGTTGGATATGTCAGAAATTCTCGGTACTTGTTTGGTGTTGATGGCAGTGGCTTGGAAACACGTCCTGCTATTGGGGATGTTTCTTGTTCATCTTTCAGCAGCATAGAGTCTAATTCGCAACCACTGAATGGAACAATCCTGGATGCCGATGTCTCTTCAATTGGACTTTTTGGACAGATACCTCGAAACTTCAGTCTATCAGACTTGGCAGCTGACTTTTCTAATAGTTCGAGTTCTCTTTCTATCGGTGTGTGTATGTGTGGGTGTGTGTGTTGAATTTTGATTGTCAGCAAGTTTGTTTAACTCATTTAGAAATTTTTTTGCCAAGATGCAAGAGCTTTATCCTACTTCACACATTTACATGACCTGAAGCCCTTTTTTTATTTCACCTCAGATATATTGGAGAGCTACTCCAGGTCACCCTTCCAGGCAGCAGGTACAGACAATTACTTCGATCCAAGTGATAGGGTAAACCACCAAGGTAAGATTCTTTCCATTTGACCTTGTTCTCTATTCAGGAGGGTAACTGATTATTGTGCCCTGGCTTGTCAGGAGACGGTAAGAGGTTGGACACTATATCAGAAGGCTTCAGTTATGAAGATTTTGGCAGTGATTGATTGAATAATCTAAATGGTATGTCTTTCAGTCCACACTGATTAAATATGAAGTTTTGTATGGGTGCAGTTTCTAAGCGCAATGAATAAACTAAAAGAAGTTATCTTCGTAAAATATTAAGGATTCAATGAAAGCATATTCTCCATTTATCTATATGCTTTCGTTAGGGGGTACTTATTGGTGTCTGTTCTCTAGCATTATTCACATACCCATATCAGGTAACTTAAGCATACTGCTTGGCACCCATTTCTTCTGTTTTAACATTGGATTGACATCTGATTGCAGTATCTGTGCTGTTTCTGCCAGTAGGGAAACCTGTGTGACACACCTATTCTATTGCGCAAACACTTTGTCTTGATTGGGCTTCTGTGCACTGTTCACGTGAACAGTCTGACTGCTGCTCTTCAGCTGGATCTCTGCTGCCTCTCGGCTGGCTTTTCTAGTCTTCTCAGCTGGTGTTCATCTGCTTTCTTATATGGTTCTCTCAGCCAGGGGCGGAGCTATGTAATCAGGTATGGGGGCATTTGCCCCCACTGAACTTTTGACTAGCTCTACATATGACATATTAAGGACTTAACTTTATTTAAATTTAGTACACTTGCCCCCCCTAACTTTTTGGGAATTAATAGTGATCAAAGTCTTTTTTTCATTTTTTTTAAACAACTTAGTAGTTCACTGCCTCATTGCCCGCTTGAAACAAATGTTTTATTTTTGGATTGAGGAAAATAAATGTGAAGTTATCCCTGACATTTTTTCTTTTAGTAAGTAACTAAAAATAATCACTTATAACCTATTTTTGAGATTTAAAAGTTATTTATAGATCATATTTTAAAGGAAATTTTATTTTGTAGTTTCATATAATAAATTAGCCTTGATTCTAAAACACTTTGTCTTCCTTGAACTTGAATTTTTTTTATCAATTAGTGAATTTTTTTTAGTCATTTTTTTGCCCCCTCTAAGAAAGGATCCTGGCTCCGCTCCTGCTCTCAGTTGGTTTATATTTGGTATTTATGGTTTCTGAGGCTGCCAAATGCTCCTTTTAGCTGCGATGTGGTGATCTTTCAGCTGGCTTTCTGTTGGTTCTTCTCATGGCTTTTCAGCCTTCTTCTGCGGGTTTCAGTTAGAATTTCTGCCCCTGATGTCCTGGAGTTGCTATGTTTCAGCTGGAATTTCTGATGTTGCTGCCTCTCAGATGGCTTTTTCTACTGCATTCTGCTCGCTCTCAGCTGCCTCTCTGATGCTTCTCTAGTCTCTTCAGTTGGTCTGCCTTTGTCTGTTGCTGCTCTATTTTCAGCTGCTTCCTGCTGCTCTGCTTGTATGCTTCTATCATTTTGCCCCTTCTGCGAGGGGGTGGGGACCTGCAGATGAGAATTTAAGTCTATCCCTGTTTCTTTATACTTGAAGCATTTACTTCCTGTTATTCCTTTTCCATCCTCCTCTTTTCCCTTGTAAGTGAAAAATTGGCTGATACTTTTCTGTTATATTTACGCAGGGCACTAGTGTTTATATGGGAGCTGCTCCAATTGTTGAATGTATGGAAAGGTACAATGTTATTGTTACTTCTCGGGTTGCAGATGCTTCATTATTCTTAGCTCCAATGGTAAGAACTACAACTTCCTGATTCAATTAGTACATATTAACATGCTTCTTTCTGATTCTAAGTCGGTGTTCACCCACCAGGTGTCTGGTGGCTTTTTTTACGAATACTAGTCTCTGTCATGGGTTGGGCACGTGGAAATTCATAGGATTCTACTTTTGTTGAAAATGTCAGTGCAACTCTTGTGTTACCACTATAATAAAAATTAGAATGATTTGGTAGAACAACGGCACCATATGGATGATCTGTTTCAAAACTTGTCAACAATAAAAAATTTTAAACTTTTCACGTGTAAGTAAATTATAATTCAAACATGCTGCCTAATATTCTTTTACTGGTTGTAAGAAGCGGTGGTAATATTCGTTTGGATTTTACACTAAATTTTGTAGGGGTGCTTATGGTTTTAACTCCATTATGAAGGGGTGTAAGTCAATAATTGGTCATGAAAACAGTGACACTTGTTTGTGTATAGGTAGTGGATATAACTAATTAACTATAGGATACCCTACTCTTTACAGATCTGGGAGTCTTAACGCTATCTGTAGTAAATAATGAGCTACTCCAGCTATACTTATAGCCATGGTTCTATCTAAATTTATTGACAAGTTGAATGGTATCTAAAACAAACATATTCTCACTGTCTAAAATGAATATGTACCTATAACCTTTCCATGTGTTCCTTTAATACAATGTTTTCTCTAGATCAATTTATTTTGGATATCATCTGATAAATTTGTTTTGTTAAATGATAGAGCTTACTTTGAATTCTCTTGATGGCCTATAAATTTTAAGTGCTAATATTTTCCATGTATTTGATAGGTTTGTGACAAGCATAAAACAATCATGTTGACGGATATTTCAAATGGAATGGTTGTGTGTGGTGGTCAATTTGATTATGCATATTCTGAATAGTGTTGAGCTTGGAGATGGTATTTTAAGACATGGAGCTAGACTGTTGGAGCTATTCAAATTTAAGAGACATTAAATGTAATTAGAGATGGTGTAAATCCCCTTGAAAGATTAAAGCCATTTTTTTTGTTATTTTTAGAACTTCTTGTTTTTTGATTCTTGTACTTAATTTTTTTTGGAAATAAAATTTTTATTTTTTTTAAAAAAGATGTGAAATTGTGTTGATTTTTTTATTGAACACAAGTATTATTAGTGTACAGGTGAAATTTTTTATTGAAATATTATTTTTTATGTAAAATTAAAAAAAATGAACTTTTTGGCGACGAGATAAAAATCGTTGCAAAAAATTGCAAGAGCAAGCTTTTTTGCGATAATTTTTATACGTCGCAAATGTATTTATTTAATTATTTTTTAGATTGTTAATTTATTAAAAATTTATTTACGACGATTTGTTTACATCGCTAAAAATTAATTAAAATTTTATTTTTGACAATTATTCTCGACGATTTTTTTACATCGCTAAAAATTAATTAAATTATTATTTTTTGCATTTTTATTTATAAAAAATTATTTGCGATGATTTTTTTATGTTGCCAAAAATTAATTTAATTATTAAATTATATATTTTTTATTTATAAAAAAATTATTCGCGACGATTTTTTTCACTAAAAATTAATTAAATTATTATTTTTTACTTTTTTTATATATGAAACAATTATTCGCGATAATTTTTTTACGTCACTAAAAATTAATTAAATTATAACTTTTTATATTTTTTATTTATGAAAAAATTAGTTGTGACGAATTTTTTACGTCGCTAAAAAGTAATTAAATTATTATTTTTTATAATTTTTATTTATGAAAAAATTATTTGCAACAATTTTATTACGTCGCGAAAAATTAATTAAAATAATATTTTTTATTTTCTAAATCTTGTGGAATATATTTTAGCGACGTTTTTTAACTTTTAACGACGATTTTATTTTGTCGCGAAATTTTTTTTTCCAATGAAAATAAATTTGCATTGCAAAATACTTTCTGCAACGAGACTATTGCGACAAATACACGACAAAAAAAAAATGTCGCAAAAAACTGTTGGCAACGATTTTTTTAATTTTGCGATAAAAAAAATCGTCACAAAAAATGATTTTTGTTGTAATGTGTTTTCGCTTTAGACTTTAAATTGACTTGAGCAGGCCCTAGTTGGGCTTGGTTGGTGAAAATTTATGTTGTGTTAAGTGAGTGATTGATCTAAATTTTTTCTACAAAAGAGGAAAATTGAATTGTTATATAACTAGTGAGATTTGACTTGAAATCATACTTGTGAGTGGACAACTATTTAGTTATTTGAACAAACCCGCTATGGTCAAATAATTTATTGCAAGAAGGTTTCAATATGAACTTTGAAATTCATGTCCACAATTTTAGTTATGAACTTTTGAACCAGTAAAGATGTAATTACGCCAAATCCATTTACAATATTCTTGGTTTCAAAAGAGCTCTAACGATGGCCCTTGCCTGATTAAGGCACAATCAATCACCCAAGCCCAAGGATGCAACTGTGAGGATTAAAAAAGTCAATTTGTATTCACTCCAAGTAATTAAATTCCAGAAAAAATTGTGAGCAGATACATTCTAGAAAACTGATTTACCTTGTGACGAGCCCAAATTCAACCGGGTCAGGCCCAATAAATCAAGTAAGTTCAAGTCACCTAAAAAACAGCTCAAGTCGAGTTCGTGAATTCGACTCAACCCAAGGTCCGAAGCGTCCAAGAATAATTAGAGGACATGGAGAGAAATCATCGCGATACACAACCTCGAGGATTAAGGCTACTATAATTAGTTAATTGTACTTACATTTTGTAACTATCATCTCCAAAGAATTCGTACCCTCATATTCACGTCACTCCCTCACCATACCTATAAATTGTAAAGTTTCTCCATTGAGAAAGGCATCTCACTACACATTGAGCTTTGCCTCTACACCGCACTACACACACTTTTTCTCTTCTAGCTATTGTATCTCTCTCCGGAGACCTTGCTTGATCAATAATGACCCCTTGGCTTCTGTTGCCGTTTCTCATAGTGGAGTAGGTCACTCGGACTGAACCACTATATATCTATGTGTTGATTCAATATTTACATTACTGCCAATGGATGCTTTATTAATTGTCTCATTAATTACACTTTATCACACATTCGACTGTTGGTCTTTCACGAAATTATTTTGTGCATCATCATCTTAAAGTACATAGTTCAGACTTTTCAGTCATTAAATCCTTATGATCCTAAATATTCGATTAGCAGGTACACATTACAATTTTACATATTTTTGTATCACTCAATTGTTTTTACCTTAATTTATGCGTAACGGATTTGATGGTCTCTTTTTTTTTCGAATCTGTTTTATTGAGGTAAGAGATTTTCTAAATGACGGGGATTAGAAATTGTTTGAAATTTGAAAAGATAATTTCAAAACCCTTGCTAGCGACAAATTTTTCTCTTCTCAATTCAGTCATTGACGATTTATCAAACCACTTCATATTCAAATCTATCCTTTTCGCAATTCTTACATAAGATATAAAATGTCAAGTTGGAAGTGTTCTTCTAATCATTTGTTTTTTTTTTGGCTAAATGGTGAAATATTTGTTTTTTTTTTTTATAAAATCCAATTTGAAGAACTTTGAATTCTTAGCATTGTAATATGATTTGGTTGGGATTTCAAATCAATCGTTTGTATGATCAGTATTCTACAGTTCATTACATTTTCTTTATAATATCATTATAAACTCAAACAATTTATTGAATTTGATATATGATCTACAAAATATTGTTTGTTTATTGTTCGTATGTTCCTTTTTTTTGGTTTCATATATCGGTTAATTGAATTATTCGAGTTGTGCTTATTATATTGTTGTTCTTAGAAGTTATTCATTGCGACAGTATCAACACACAAAAGTTATTTTTATTTTTCATAAGACCGCAACATCTTAATTAATATTTTTTGTACATATGTTACTGGTTGTCGTCATAGTTTTCGTTATAAGGTGTGACAACAAAGAATGACTCCAGCAAAACAACACTATATGAAAACAAAGGGCAATTGATATCATAGAGTTACTAGAAAGTGTGATTAAAAAGAGTGACTTCAGAAAATAGTGATTTCATAAAGAGTGACTTCATAAAAGTAGTACAATATAATTTTAAAAAAACAACTGATTTCATAGAGTACAAGATAGTGTGGCTACAAAGTATGAATACATATAGTGACTAAATAGAGTAACTTCATCCACAACAATAATCATCAAAAATTATATTGACTTTAGTTTAATAACAACTTGGAGTGACAAATTAAAATTTATATAGTAACAAATTAAATACACACATACTCATAATCATAATATAGTGTGATGATTAGGGATGTCAATGGACCGAAGGCGGGGAGTGTAGTCTTCATCCCCGTATCCGTTTAAAAAAATTTCGTTCATCCCCGGTCCACCCCTGTTAACGGATATAATTTTCATCCTCATCCCCGGTCCATCCCCGTCTGCGGATAAATTTTTAATCCTTATCCCCCTCCCTGCTTCCCCCCGTATCCGCCTAAGCCCAAGCCCAAGTAGCATAATCCAAAATTTTAAATAAATCTAATATTTTAAATAATTCAACAACATTCTAATATAGTCTAACACAACATAATGTAGGTTGCAAAATATAAAAGTTAAAACAATATAGTATTCTATTTAAAGTGTTATTGGACCACAAAAAGAGAAACAGAATTATTAGAGAGAAATGAAGAAAAGGAAAATAAAATTGAACTAAGAAAACGATAACACTACACTTGAAGTTTCCTAAAAAAAATTTTGTTATTTCAATTCATATTACAACCATAAAGTGTTAAAAGATAAAAACTTAAAATTTCACTAATTAAATAATTCTTCATATTTCTTAGTTCACTATGACAGAGAAACTCAACAATCTCCATTTACAATATTTCTGCCCACGATGAAATGTAAAACTATCTTAATATTTCTTATCTATGTTTAGAGTATGGTCACCTAACAGTTTCAATCAGTTAGCACAAATAGAAAAAAAAATAATCATGAAAAAAAGTTGATAAGATTATCACATAACAATGCCACTTTTTAGTTTGATTATCATATTTATAGATTGGTAGTTATAGTAAATATGTTTAGTTAGAAATATATATATATATATATAACGGGTAGCGGGGGTGGTGCGGGGGTAAGGGTAAGTCTATCCCCGCCTTCATTCACATACGAGTTTATACGGGTATTTCCATATACGTCTACTATCCAATACGTATAGTCTATTCCTGGTCCAAACAGGACAGATTTGAACGAATACCCGTTTTTTTTCGGTTCACTACCATCTCTAGTGATGATGCACAAATTGATTTTGCACACCACCTATCAAGTAACTGATAATTATTGCAGTTGTAAAATAAAGAGAGAGAGAGAGAGAGAGAGAGAGAGAGAGAGAGAGAGAAATAAAGAAAGCAACACAAGGATTTATAGTGGTTCTGCTAATGTGACTTACGTCCACTTTGAAGGGCTAAAGTCGCTTGGTGTTTTATTACTTCAAGGTGTATAGTGAGAGTAGAGAGATACAAGCTAAGACATAGGAGAATAGAGAATGTGCTCAGTTGAATGTAATGTATCAAAGATCCAGAATTCTGAAGGAAAAGTCTTACTCCATCCATGAAATGCAGAGCACTTGAAAATGTATTATCAATGACACCTTGAGAGCATCAAAGTAGTAGAAGTTGGGACTTGATTTGATTTTTAGGGGCGTTACCCAATATTCAATGTACTTTTTTGGGAATTATTACCCAATATTACTTTTTATAAGTAATAAATCAACAAAATTTTCTACGTCATTTACTCCAAAAAGATCTTTTGCATTTCATTTCAAAGGAGTATCAGTACAAAAATAAGGCCAAATACCGCCTTTTCGAAAAAAAAAAAATTAAAAGTCCTAATCATTTTAACTACTCTCACGATCGTCCCCCACCTCCTCCTCATCGTCATCAACATCATCAGATCC